AAAAAATTGAAGAGGAAAATGTAAATAAATAAAAAGTCCAGCAGAGTTATTGCTATTGACGCTCTTGAGTTTTTTGTTGTTTGATGTTCTTGAAAGCGGAGTTGCTGCCCGTTGTCATGGTGATAAATGAGCCAGTGTCCAAACACTGACGTCTGTCGCACACTGATGCTCCATCAAAGGCATCTCCATATTCGTTAAATTCGCTCTGACTACGCCCCAATTAGCAGGCGTGTCTGCACTGTGCTGATGGAGATTCCGGTTTTTTTGCAGCCTGCTCCACCTGATTTAAACCGTGGCGGGTTTGAATCCGATTTAGTCTAACAGCAGCAGCAGCAGCAGCAGGATGGCCTCTAGGACTATGGCAAACCTTCCCAGTGGGTTCGGAATATGTTCCACCCTCCCCGACATCCTGTACCTCCCAGAACTGGTAAGAAATTGTAGGAACTTTTCTCTGTCACACAGTTTTTACTTACAAAACATGCAGAAACTTTCTTATCCAGAGATGTTCAGATTGAAAGCCCTTAAAAATAATTTAAAAAAAGAAAAGAAAAGAAAGAAAATAACTTTTAACCATTTTCTACTTTTTATTTCAGTGACTGAAACAGAAGGACAAAATTGTTTCATTTCTGGTTAACCTGTGGTTCAAAATATATTTATATAGTAGGTATAGTATAAAAGTAAGTTACAAATAAGGTTAACCTTCTCACTTCCTGTTCGCAGCAGAAGTAAGAGGAGCTGATTTACAGCCACTTTGCAGAGAACGTGGTTCCAAACGTTTTTGTGCTCTCCTGTGCCTAATTTAAGTTGGCTTCACCCTACTGATAACTGAAATTTATGCTGACTGAGGGTTAATGATGTAGGTGTGTTAGGATTAGGATAATCTTCCTACATGAGCAATATTACAATTAATTATATTCAAGTGAATATGTCATGAGCCAAACATCACAATAGGCGGAGGACAGACCGAGCAGGTTGGATTCCTATGATGACTCATCATTGTCAGTGGAGGGAAACAGATATGAAAAGAAAAAATGTTTTGATACGCCACATTTAACTTAAGGAAATGTCAGCAGTGGAGGAATGTAGCAGGTGTTTTCACATGAATTGTGCGAACAGGTGGAGTTCAGACAGTGATGGCATACGGTGGAGGAGGGTCAGGCTCCCTGAATAATGCAGTCTGTCAATCATTAAAGGTGTAGAGTAAACGAAGGCAGTCACGCCTGTCCTGCATGCTCAAGTAGAAGTACAGGTTCTACAAATAACTGCAACACACGTTGTGGAAACATATAATTTCCTTAAACTAAAGCATTATGATAGTCCCAGATCTAACTAAGGCTTGTGGAGATTTTTCACATGTTCCAGCTCTTCTCATGTACACATGTTGTTGCAGGTTTTTGGTGGTCTGGTGTGGATCTTGGTGGCATGCACACTGGTAGTGCCACACAATCCTCAGGGCTGGGTCATGTTTGTCTCTGTCTTCTGCTTTGTGATGACTTTTATCTGGATGGTGGTGTTCGCCTGTGGGACACATCATAATAAAGCCAGCTGGGCAGCAGCAGTAAGTCCTCCACAAATCATATCGCACACACTTTCACTTGTCCTTGCTGCTCGGCAGCTGTCTGATTGTTGAACTTTTATCTCTATTTTTGTTATAAAAGTAGTTATAAAGCATCTTGAGGCTATTGTTCTTGATTTGGTGCTATATAAATAAAACTGACTTGAAGTGTGTTTGCTGACATTATAATGATACATTCATTCCTGTTTATGTAGCTCTATCATACCTTTCTTGACTCCAGTAGCAGGAAGTACCCCTGTCAGATAGAGGATCCAACTTATACGCAATAGAAATTGACCAGCCTGAAGTCCTACCTCGTTGTTTTGTCTGTTATAAACTGTAGTATAATACAGCGAACAATATTAATATGGTTGCTTCAGAGAAACACGGATAGTTCTAATTGCAAATAAATGCAGTTAAATGATGGTAAATATACAGCATCTACCTTCATCATCAACCCTGACACATGCCTCACTTTAGAGGTAAAAAAGAGACAAGAAACAGAGATTTTGGCAGATTTTTAAGGAAAACGCAACCTTCCTTATAATTCTATATAATATACATATAGTACATATAATTATATATAAACCACAATTAAATGTTACAATTTAATCCACTTTACTTTTCCTTCTTGAGCTTGTGTCCATTATATATCATTGTTCTGAACTTTTCTTCTGCAGTGGTTAAATGACGAGCATCAGTGCAAGATTGCTTTGACAATCTTCTTCGGTTGCTTCCCGTGGTGACACCTGATATTTAAGAATTTGCAGCTACAAAACAAGCTTTTTGATGCCAACACACACAACACAATAGCTTTACATGCCAGTGTTTGACAGGATTTTGCAACTATGTGTGTGTTTCGACTCTATGCCAATGCAGGCAGTCATCATTTTGAAGACATCACCACATAACAATGAACGTCTTGTCTCGCTCTTTTTCCTCCTCCTCTGTCAGGACCTTTTGTATCATGGCATTGCTGCATTCTTCTACCTCAGTGCTTCAGTGGCGTTGGCCAAAGTGACGCTGGATCTGAGCGGAAAACAGGGCAACAGCACAACTACAGAACAACGCAACTACAAGTTGGACGTCTCTGCAGTGGTGAGTCAGGCTGTTCAGCGAGTTGTTACTTGCTGTAACTTGGGTGACACAAAGAAATGAATGATTATAAAGCTAATGGAATAAAGCCCACAGAGAATTACACACCGGTTGCAGTTTTCTTTCAGAGTTGGCTCTCAGTGAGTTGAAATAGTGAAACAAGAGGTATTCGTATATTTCAGTGAGGCAAACATAAAAATACCAAATAATTTATATTGCATTAACTCTTTCAGGTGTCATTTTTAATTTTACTTTAAATGTACTGATTTTTTTACTTTACTTTCCGTTTTTGTTTTGAGGTATTTAACCTATTTTAGATCATGTTCTGATTAGTTGTTTTCTTTGGATCTTTTAATGAGAAAAAATAGGAAGAATCAGAAGAAATCAAGTCAGTAGAATATTTGCACAGATCTTCATGAATTTCTGTCTGTCATGGATGTAATATTTGATCAACTCCATATCCCTAACTTTAAAAAAAACATAGGAGGCTATCATTACCTGGTAAAATGATCCCAAAATACTAAAAATAACTTTGAAATCTCACCTGCTTTACTTCTGCTGTGTAAGTATCGACTCGCTTAGTAGACATTTTTGTCGCTAGTGGTTTTCTATCCATTTGTAATTGTTTTGTGTCTATTTGCATTAATGTTCTATGTCTTTGTAGTCATTATATTCTATTATTTCTTGTTAATTAACTTGTTTTTTGTCTTTACACTAAGCTAGGCTAAAGTGGTTTTAATCTAGATGCTAAGTCTCAACAAAAAAGAGAATGTTTGGCACATTGTCAACAACGGCTTTGAAACTGAAGCCAGCCGATTTTTTAAAATATGAAACTACTTAAGAATAAACTTTTAGTGCACTCAAGGTGGTGAAGTGGAGACTATTCTAAAACCTCTTTCTCCAGGGCAAATAGTTCATTGCATTGCAGCAGCACCAGCAGATCTGCTTTAACATTTAGCTCTATCATACAAGATTTACTCTCAACACATGACTTCTAA